GGAAAAGAAAACTTTAGGAGAAAGGTAGACAAAGCGTAAAAAATGTTGGGCACCGACATCGTTCCATCCATCTCGGCTTCTCCTTTTGACAAAGCTGCCCCGGTTCTTGAGATAGTTTGTTATTGTAAAGAATGCCTTTAACATTACCCACTCGTTCATGCCTTACAGTTCTGTCACACACGCCAAACGGAAGCCTGCTGAGATATTAGATTTTGAATAAGCTTCGATTTCTTAACACATTTTGATGGCTTGATTTTGCATGACTTCCTCATGGCGCAGCGTTTATCAGGACTCGAAAGCAATGAAGAATAAGTCTTATCCCATACTCACATTTTCTTTGGTGGAATTCCCAGATAGCCCATCATCCAAAGTTAAATAACGGAAAGAAGGCATTTTTGTTGCATTTTTCTGCATTTTTCTGACAGTGATAGGACGTCGACTTTTCTTTGTGAAGCTTTCTCCTAGAATTTTTGATTATTCGACGAATAATGAGGAAGAGGAAATAAGTTTTCTTCTTCTTCTTATTCTTCAGCGTTTGTCCCGCTTGTTGGCGGGGTCCGCTTTTCTGATGTGCTGACGCCACTTTTCCCGATTAAATGCTTGGTCGGGGTGGATGTTAACCAACTTCAAGTCTGCGTGCAACGTATCGAGCCAGCGCTGTTTCGGGCGCTTTCCGGGCACGTCTATGTTGAGGCCGATCTTGCGAACACTGTCATCATTTCCGCGAAGAACGTGGCCATACCAACGAAGCCGAGCTTCGCGCATTTTATCAGCAATGGGAGCTACACCAATGTCAAAGATAACTCCTGTCATACAACGCCAGTTAGACCAAGCCGCTCAGATCAGGCGAAAATAAAGGTTTCGAATTCAGAAAATCCATTCTCAAAATTATAACTACTGCCAGCGAAATCGTTCACCTTGAAATAAAAAAGTAGTGCATTTCTCCCTACAACAAGCAGTATTTCACTGCTGAAAAAAACGAACTCATTCAATTCTGTGTTGCAGTCAGTATGCAACCGTTTTGGATTGATGCTCGCGGCGAAAACTCGACACGCTACGCTGCTTCTCTTCATCGTCTGCGCTCCGGTAGCGTGGCCTTTGAGCAAGCTTATTGACTATTTCTTGGGCAGAGAGGTAAGCAAAATGTGATGCCTGCAAAAAGAAGCGCCGCAGGAGGATTATAGTGCTCCTTATAGGTCAGAGAAATTTACTCAGAAGAGAAACTTAAAACCCTCATCAAAGTGCAGGCGAAGAAAATGGAAGAGGCAGCTCAAGGTGACCACTTGTAACTATTAGTAATTGAAGCAGAAGCATCCCTCTATGAAGATATAGCATAACTAGCCTTAGTTGGAGCGTGCAGTTGATGTACTTATTTGAGCCACTTTCGTGAGTTCCTTCACGGTACATCGAGTATTTATACAAGTGCGCTTCAGTAGTATACGTCCACCCATCATTTCAATAAAAACGTTCCTCAAATAACTGGTCCAATTAAGCAGCACACATTATCAGATTCGTAATATAAGAAAACGGTTAACAACATTTTCTCGGACAGGAAAGTCAATAAGAAATTTTTAGAATTATGTCGAATTGGCGTTTCATATGTACGTCACCCTTCGGCTGGGGAAAATTTTTCCTGTTTCAACCGGGGTACATATCCGTACCAAATCCAAGAGCGACATGTCTCCTTGCGATGCCGCGTGGTCTCCGTCTCTCTGTAGAAGAAAAGGCCCAGATTCGGGCTCTCCACGATGCCGGACTCAGCCGTCGACAGATTGCCCGGCAAATCGGCAGGACTCACTGCGTGGTTTGCTCTTACCTCAGAGATCCTGAAGCCTACGACAACGGAGGTGCCCGAGGACGTCAACGCAAGTTGTCCAACAGAGATGAACGAGAAATTTGGAGGAAAGCCTCGAACAGCACCAGCAGCGTCAACCAGATCCGTGCAGACTTGCAGCTGTCTGTCTCGAAAACGACCGTATGGAGGGCAATCAAACGCAGTGGCAACATCGTGAGAGAGGTTATGAGAAAGGCGCCACGCCTTACCAACGCGCACAAGATGGCTCGCCTCGAGTTTGCCCGGAAGAACGCGACCACGGATTGGAGACAGGTGCAGCTGTAGAACTAGGCGAAGCTTATGCACTGTAGAGTAATTTAAAGTCTTTCAGGTGATCTTTTCCGATGAGAGGAAGTTCAACCTGGATGGACCCGATGAGCAGGATGTTATTGGCGTGAAATTGGAATTTGTATAACTTCGTATAATGTATGCTATATGAATGTATATGAAGTTATCTGGAATTTACTTATTGCCGTTCCTGAGTCGCAGGCGACGACAAAGGTTGGTCTTCCAGCAGGACAATGCAAGTGTTCATGCTAGCAGGTCAACTTCCGCATGGTTGCAGCGACAGAAAGTTGAGGTTATGGCGTGGCCTGCGTGCAGTCCTGATCTGAACCCAATGGAGAACCTTTGGGGAATAATTGTGCGACGAGTCTACGCCAACAGCAGACAGTTTTCCACCATCGACGAGCTGCGAACTGCGGTCATGGATGCGTGGAGAAGCATCGACCCTTCAGTCCTCAAGAACCTAACAATGAGTATGCCGAATCGACTCATGGAGCTCTCATTCAAACAGGGTGCATCAGTTGATTATTGATTTTCATGAAGTGTACTGTTGAGTTTGTATAAATAAACTGTTATATGAAGTGGACGTATACTATGAAACGGTCGAAATTCGAAAAAATACTTCTAAATTATTTCTTTATAAACTTAAAATTTTGAAAACACGTTTTCCATAGTTTTTCAATGCAGCGAATCCGCTAATACATGCTGCTAAATTAGATCACCCCATTAAGAAAAGTTTTCTGTGAAATAAGGGGTGGACGTATACTACTGAAACGCACGTACAGTCGTAATCAAGTTGCCCTAATCTATTTCGGTCATGTTTCGCGCTTATCCCTGTGCCAGAGCTTCATGTACCACTCAGACTGTAAAAAATCTCCTCCAAGTATTATCTTAAACTCTGACGGCATTTCATCATTTACTGAACTAGAGGCGTCTTAACCACAAACACACGCTAAACATAAAGCAACACCTCTAGATCATGTTTGTGGGAGTTGATGCGATCGATGACAGAATTGTGGCGAGTTGACTAAAAATGAAGAGAGGAGCAAAGAAAACCGTCGATGACCTTAAAGGCAAGACCCGGAATAAAACTGGTGTATATGAGCTCATCGCAGCAATGCTAGCTGCGGAATGGTACAGAAAGGGAAACAAGGGAAAGCAAGAGAAATTATCGGGAACGCTTAACTCGGGCCCGTAATCTTTATTAAGGTCAGTGGTACAACGGCGAGACGGGGCGATCAAAAAGGCAAAATACGCGAGAGCACGCCTTTCGAGAGAGCGCCCTGATCGCATTATCCGTGCAATGAAGCTGGCATGAACTATGTAGGGAGGGACCCTACAATATTGCTCACGGTATACTTCCTACTAGTCGGGCTAGTCGCGGGGTTCGTGTTCAAGCAAGTACTCCATCTATTCCCTTTCAAACGAGGGAGGGGCGTACGGTGGCATAGGGAGCTGAATAAAGGAGATCATGTGTGGGTAGGTTCTGCTTATTGGAATTAAGCCTTCGATTCCACATCCATTTCATTACTAATTCAGTAGATTCGAAAGTTTTGGTCAAAGTGGTGTCTGTGTGTGCTCATTCTTGAACAATAAAAATAGATCGGTTTTATTCAATCGTGACCATTCTATTAAACCCTCTGCTAACTCAGCTCGGCTGCATTGGTCCAATGTTTGAACTTAGCAATATACTAGCCATAAGTATTAGATTGTCGGAAAAGATTTTGCACACCTTGTTCACCTTGCAAAATCTTTTGGGATCGTTTTGAAACATTCACTTTGAAACACCTGTGAGCGGTGGTTAATGCTCTCGCCACAGCATTTCTGTCGTAGCATTTCACAGCGTTTTGAAGCTCAAAGATCGTCTTTCATTGAAGGTATGTTTGACTGCTCCTGCCTTTATAAGCCCACAAAATGGGTCGATTGAAGCAAATCAGTCGGAGTTCTACGTGTTGTACCTCCAGACTTCTTTCACAATATGCTAAGCAGATTCTCTTCATTCTGGAAAAACCAACAAGATCTTGTCGGCCTACCATCGTCATGAGGGGCTGGAGAGCAATGCCCGGTCGCATGCGAGCACCCCTTTCAGTGCTACCAAACACAAGGGCCGTTTCTCAATATCGCAACTAGAAGAAGTGAAATTATGGCTGAAGGATATTGTGGCGAAAGGATTTTGCGATGACTGACCACAGGCTATTGAGACCATAAATTTTGCAAGGACATTTTGATTTGCCGCCCGTCTATCGCTTGATCCGCCAACTTTGTTGGTGGTGTCAAGAAGTGGGATCCTCAGATAAACCGCACGCGAAAGCACGACTGGCTCGGATGCGTAGAACAAAGGATTGCTACGCCGATTGAGAACAGCAACCTGGGAGGCAACATTGAAAGCTCATGAGGCTGCAAATGTTTCGCTCACGGAGAGCTGCTGCCAACGAAGTCCACTGCTATTGGTGAACAATAATGTTAGCAAGTGGATTGGTTTCCGGCATGGTGCCCGGAAAATCGGAGAAACTTTACTTTATGTCGGCAACGCTCGCCCACGAATTACGAAGAAGAAAAAGGTTCAGGAAAGGTCTCCAAGCTCGTTATAGAATGATCTGACCCACTTAGTGTGTACAGCAAACCTGGTAGAGACAGGCTACCATACGCCTCTGTTGCCGTCGAAGGTACTGAAATAGGGGCAGTTCGATGATCCGGACCTACTCGGAGTCAACCTCTTTGAGCTTTTCGCCCCAAGACTCGGGATTTCTGAACGGCCGGCAACCTGAAGTTGCCTGCTGAAGAGCAATGTTTCGACGATTATGGTGGTGTATGTATTCAGCAATTGTTGGCTGCACTAAAGAAGAAAAACAATTTTGAAAAAAAAGTTGCCAAATGCGCAAAGACTTTTCCGACAACCTAATATTATATAATAGCAAATGCAATTTCCACATTACTTATGAACACAGTTGAGAGTCGGACTGAACGGATTAAAAAACAGGAACTCCAGAAGTTTCTATTACCACACAGAGATTCGGTTCCATGCTCCCCCCCCTCTGCTCTTCGTTACCCACTAATAGTACACCAACCAATCACTAGTTGTTCCGCTTTCATGTTCACTTCCAAAGGAAGAAATAGATGATCGCGAGCACCTGGGAACGTACGTTCAGTTACGCGTCAAAGACTGGGTATTCTTGAGAGAAAGATATCAGGGCACTTGCATATTGATGAAGGACAGTTGTAGACAGTTGTAGCAGATATGACGTCTAACGAAAATTACTCTGAAGGAAGTTATGAAATTTTGCAAGTCGAAGTAAAATCGGCACTTGATTTTGACCCAACCTAATAAAAAACCTAATAGAAAAATCGGAAAATTTCGGAAAGTGAAGTCAAGTCGGCACCCACTCTAAATCAACTTTATATACAACTTGACACAGCGTTTTCAATCTCAACGCCCGTAACGCCCATCAAATTTCAAACGCCCTTAACGCATTTGAAATGTGATGGGTAACTTTTGTGCTATGCTAGAGTAATTCCTGGCTACGAATCTGGTTCAAAAGGCTGTGCACCATGTACGTCCATGTACGCCGAGCAGCATGAAGCTCAACACATGATTATCCACAGTCTTCGTAACATGGTTACGCACTGCAGATGGAATACACCATTCGAGGAACAAGGGTTAGAAAGGAAAAGGCTGTACAATACCGCCACTAACTTTTGAAGTATTTTCGCGCTGAGCGAACGGATTTGTACTCAGGTCCACTACTCCAGCGGTTCGGAATCAAACATGAGACTGAAGCTCTACACCAATGGACTCGTCTCTCCATGGCGAGTCCAACTGTGTGCAAAACTACGGTAAAAAAATGTAAAAGAAATGCGAAAAAACGCGAATTCGCGTTTTTCTTTTCGTTCATGTTATAACTCGGGTTCAAAATTGAGATTTTCAAAATATGAAAAAAGCATTGAACTCAGCTCGTCGAGTTCTATAAGAATATGCTTTTAAACTTTTAAAAAGCCCTACTTCAGATTGCGCCATGCACTCGAGCTTTGGCTCGAGAAAAAATTGTTTGAATGTGTATCATCTTTTTCCAACATACAAGTAAACTTACTCTACGATAGGGAAGAGAGTTCGTCCCTCCCTTCTCGAATTTCCTCAAAACATCCCTTCGAAAATTG